TAACAGTATAAGGAAAGAAATCTTGGAAGATTTGTGAGTAAAAATATTGTCAAAAATATTTCCCATTAAAGGAATTATATTTCAGCGTCCATTATGTTTGCCTGGTTTTGCTGGTTCGAGAGCGCCATTGAGTTTTTAGGAAAATATTTGCCCACTCTTTTATCGCTCGAAATGGCCGAACATATCTATATTTATAAAGGATTATGACGATTATTAAATCATCGTTTGGTATGTAAATAAAACGAGATTGAAAAGAACAGGAAGGGTTCTTTTTACATCTTTAATATTACAGGATTTTGATTTATTAACAAGCCCAAAAAAAATTAAACAACAGAATTGTTCCTAGGTAATGACAATTTATAATTGTTACAATTGAGATAAATCATTAATCGAATTAATACTTAATTAGGTACAATCACATAAAAAGCACATTTATATATATATTATTGTTCTATTAATAATTATTTGAGTGAAACATTGTAATTAGTATTAATTTGATAACGTAATAATATATTTTAATAAATAATCATTTATTTGCAAAAAACGAGGTACATTCAGATTTATTCATTATAAAAGTCCGCACAATAAATAAAAATAGACATTCACATGTGACATTAAATATCTCATATAAAAAGTTCTTTATATTTGTTCTTAAACTTATGATCAAAATACTCGCCCACGCTATAAAGCCACCTTGCCTTTAAAAGTTAATCACCTTCCCCTTGAAAGCATTACATGGCAGTGAACTTCAAATGTGATGATGTAGTGATGAAATAATATGATGATATGATTGATAATGTAATGTACAGGCCGTCAAAATAGGACATCAAGGGAAAGTACTTTAAATATCGTGGTTAAGATATTTTGATGAAAGAAGACTTTATTTTATTTTGAAAAGTAAGTATTACTGCATTCAATGATTTTCTAAAAATTACTTGACGTAATTACTCGTCCGGGAATCGAACCGACTCAAATGTAAATAAAAACACCTCTTATTTTTTTGATGCCAATCAAGAGAATGGTCAAAAATAATATTTTTTCGATACTTAATCATTGAATGCAGTAATACTTTTCAAAATAAAATAACGTCTTCTTTCTGCAAAATATCTTATCTACGATATTTCAAGTATGATGTCCCATTAGGACGGCCTGTATATTACATAACATTATCAATCATATCATCATAGTCAATTCTTATTTTATTTTATCACGATAGTTAAGGTACTTTCCCTTTATGTCCCACAGTCTTGGAACTCCCTGTATAATTTATATGTAAAATTCTACCTTTAAAGAGAAATTTGCACTATTAGATTATACCACCATATTTTTGTACTATATTCTTGCAAGTAAATTATTAATATAGGTCCGGTTTATCTTACACAAGCCATTTATTTAAGCATTAATCTGAAAATAATAAACTCGCTTTAAACTCCGATAGTACAAATATGAGGGTCATTGTTGACCCCAGAGCGCGACCCGGACGACTTTGAATAGGATCGGGTCGACCCTTGGCAAATAACATTAAACCGCATATTGACGTGAATTCTTTCCAAGATATATTTCAATAACAGCGGACGTGTGGAACTCTGTTTGTTCGGTCAGAGTACGTGACCTGTGCAGGTATTCTGCATATTAACGACTATTATACTGAGTTTAAGCTTTCAACACAGCATATTCTTCGTATCCTATATAATACGTTTAGAGAGGTACAATTTGGTAAGAGAAAATGTAATGAATGAATTATAAAAGTATTCGTGTATGTGGTGATATTATTAATAAGTTCAAACTTTCATTTTACACGTTTTATCCTTGATCAGCTACGAGTTTGTGTTTTGTTTTCACTATAATGTAATTGATGATGATTCTAAGTGTTTGGTGGCAGTTTCAGATAAAAAAATTGGTGGAAAGTTTCCTGTCAGTCACCTTTGTTTGGGAAGTAGTAAATGTAGATTTAAACCGCTTTTATAAGAGAATGTAAGTGCGTGTTGGCCTAGTGGCTTCAGCGTGCCACTCTCATCCATGAGGTCGTAGGTTCGATCCCCGGCTGTGCACCAATTTACTTTATTTCTATGTGCGCATTTAACATTCGTTCGAACGGTGAAGGAAAACATCGTGAGGAAACCGGCTTGCCTTAGACCCAAAAAGTCGAGGGCGTGCGTCAGGCACAGAAGGCTGATCACCTACTTGCCTATTAGATTAACAAATGATCATGAAACAGATACCTATAGAAATCTGAGGCCCAGACCTAAAAAGGTTATAGCGACATTGATTTTTTTTTAGTGCGTGCTACTATTTCACCATGACTCCTGCTGATAGAGGACAAATCTTTGTTTTTTTTATTTTTATTATTAATAAACTATTAATTACTTAAGATGTCATGTGGAATATGCTGTAATGGTTAAGTTTTATGAAGAATAAATTTTGATTTCATTTTAAAGACAAGTCTATGAATTTATTCTGTGTTCCACGGCTGACTGTGGTGGATAGCAAAAATGGTATCTACACCGAAGAGTCTGCCTCCACTAGTTCAGTTCTTTTCTTATTAAAGTGTATATTTTTGAGAAATGTTTCATTTGTTCGGACCTTGAGGAGTTCTGTCGACTTTTCTCTACGCTTCTGGGCTGCGATTACTTTTTTTAGACGAAATTCTCGGCGCCCTGTGTGGCTGTCGCCTCGTGGCTATTTACGACATGGCGCAGTATTTTAGCAAATAAAAAGATTTCATTTAAATGCAAGTTCAACTCTCCTAACAAATGGTCATGTGTTATAAGAAAATATAGTCTATATTAAAATAACGTGTTTGACTTTTTATGTAACCAAACTGTTAATGATTTTTCGTTGGTTATTTAAGGGTAATTTCTATTATGAGGGGTAGATTTTTAAATTTAGAACAACCGCGTACGTAAAGATATCGCACCTTTGAATTTATTAAACACGTAATTTACGTTTATTAGCTTAGCGATTAAAATCTATCCTTCGCGCCAACGTCCAACAAATTACTTGCATAGATAATAGTAGAGCTGGTGGCGCCATAATACCTATTCTAATTAAACATCGTAGATTTAATAATGAAACTACTGGCACGAATTTGCAGTGACGGAATTTAATGTAACTAAACGGAGGATTTTATTTGTATCAGGATACAATAACGAGATAGAGACTGGCAATGAGAATGTAATAGTGAGGTCCTATTATCCAGATATGCGCATAGGTATATCACACCCAAGAGACATATATTTGTATATTGTCTAAGTATCTACTTTTAATATCTACCTTTAATGTACCCAACATTATTTGTCTTAGGGATGAGATACAATAAATTGGAAACCAGTTACAGATCTAGTATGTACTGAAAGTCTTGCGGGGGTTAGTGTGTGCTCCGAGAACACTTTGTACTGATGGGATATGTGCGACGGCGAAGGCCAAGGTTGTTTGGGATACCAAGGGCCAGAACCAGTCTGTTGCACAGATCCCAGTTAACAAAGTCGTTGCGCTTACTGAATGCTGTCTCCGACACTATCGACATATTTATATGTTTGCAGAGTGAATTGACAGTAGCTATATTGTGTATATTATGTGTTTAAATTATGTACTTTTATTTTTTCTCGAAATTATCGTATTGGCTTAGCCTGTAAGGATAATACAGGTATTTCTGTAGATAAATAAAGAAATAAAAAATAAATATTACTTTAAGGCATGATAGTCCACCTCTGTGTCTTTATTTATTTATTTTTTAAAGTTCACCACTACATATATTACATGTACTATGTACTAGAACAGATGCTAACGGCTCATGCTCACGACCCGGGTCTATGTCCGGTCGACAGTCTTGTATGGGACACTAAGACGCCATGCACACGACGCCGGCGCTCCGCAACCGGGCACGGTGCTCGCCGCGTCTACACCCGGTGCGCAGTGGAATATGGCAGTGTATGAGCGCATGCACACGAGACCGGGCCTACACTCGGCGCGTGCCGACTACCTACGCAGTACGCACAACGCAATATTATATTATAATATAATTATTGAAGTCGACCAGGAATTATTAATTGGAGATATACTACTGCGCATATTTGTATCTTCATGTTTAAGTTTGGGTTCCAAAATATGTAACATTTTTATAATGTTTCTTTTTTCATTCGAAAGTACTTCTCAAATTTCTCGTCATAGATAGATGCTTCTGAATGAGCGTATGAAATGCACCATGATCTTCTCTTTCTGTTAACATGAGAGGTAACATGGGAGGTACCCAATGTCGTCTATGTATTTTTTCTCGTCTTTTTTTAGCTTTTTATACATGTACCACGCAATAATACATTTTCTCTTTTTAACACTCAACATTTTATACGTTCACAATTCATTGAATATGGGCCGTGGGCATGAGCCCTAACCGTGTTACTATCTGTTCTAAACTATGTTGTAAGATATATTATGATAATTATGATAAAGATAAATGTTAAAAATAAATCAGTGGGGCTACAACCTCTTTAGGTATTGGCCTCAGATTTCTGAAGCTGTTTCATGATCAGCCTCCAGTGCCTGACACACGCCGTCGACTTTTTGGGTCTAAGACATGTCGGTTTCCTCACGATGTTTTCCTTCACCGTTCGAGCAAATGTTAATGCGCACCTAGAAAGAAATTCCATTGGTGCACAGCCGGGGCTCGAACCCACGACCTCAGGGATGAGAGTCGCACGCTGGAAGCCACTAGGCCAACTCTATTCTAATGATAAATGTTACAAATAATAAAAATACTACACTTACAATTTTAGATCTCACTAGTGATTGTTTGCTAAATGCGGATTAGGTATCAGAAAGGCAATTAACAGTGTTTTATTTTTAATTTATATGCGGTTCCGATTTTAGGTAGATCTTTATTATGTTAAGTATTATGCCGCCTACGCGTGAGATAGTTTTTCTGAAACTGTCCACGCATTCTTTAATTCGTTACACATTCACCATATAACCACAAGATTAAAGAATATTTAAATTCATTGAAGGTACGAGATTACACGAAGAAGACGTGTCAGCGTTAATGGCGTCGCAAGTGGCTCTGCAGCGGCTGGTCCCAGGCTTCAGGTTTAACCTTGGCTTCAGTGCTAAGTATTATCACCATGGAACGGCTCTGGAGAATCGCGGAGATGATTCTCTATTGAAGAATCGAGAGCATTTTAGCTGGTGAGTAGTTTCCAGCCTTGTCGGACTAAGTTTGAGAGGGATTTTCACTCCGTTAAGTGGACACGAGAAGTTCACATTTCTGTTATCCAAGTACATTCAAGTCTAATTATCTATTTTCCATTTAATAAAGAGACTGATCGAAGCCAAGCAAGTAATCGGTACAACTCGCAACAATACTTGGTTCGCTGGGAAATGAACCCAGGTTTTTGGGCTCGTGTCATAAGTCGGAGGTCCTTTCCCTTAAATAAACATTATTTGGCAGGTTTTGTCACATGTGGAACCACCAGCAACCCCATCTCTACAACAACGTGTCACAGTTGGAATCAGAAATGATGCTGAACAAGCAGTTTGCCATGGAGCATGGAATACCCACAAATTCATGCTACTCGGTCTCGCCGCACCATTCGGGCGTGTACCCAGTGCATGAGCCGTTGTACGAAGCCTGGAGGAAGGTGTGGGACGTGAAAGTCACAAGTACTGAGGAATATCCACATTTAAGACCGGCTAGGTAAGAATTTTTTATCAAAAGACATAGTTGCTTTTATAAGTATATTAACGAAGAATGATTCGAATCGTCAACGACCAGTAACTTACCGTGCGGCTTCATTCCTTGGCGTTGCGTAGAGATGTGGGGTCTCTTTGCATCTTCTTACGCATTTACCATGTAGATTGTTTAGAGGAGTTGTTCGCACTAATACCTGCAGCTGAGTTTCATCACCGGACGTCAAGGCAGAATACAAAATACCATCCGTATCACCTTAACATCCGTCGTTCCACAACTAAGCGTTTCTTAAGGCAGTTTTTGCCACGCACCACCACTATAGAACCAGCTGCCCACTGAAGTATTTCCGAACCAATTCGACTTAGGGTCCTACATGAAAAGAGCGTACCAAGTCTTAAAAGGCAACGCACTTGCGAGCCGTCTGGCAATATGGCTGTCCATGGCCGACGATATCACTTAACAAATTTTCCGTGTCTACTTAAATATATAAAAGCCTTTTACTATACTACACATACTTTACATTTATCGTCTCATTCATTCCTAGACATCCTTTTTTGACAAAGCCCTCCTCCAAATCCCGCCACTCCTGTCTGCACTGTGCCCCTCTCTGCCTTGACCACCCGCTGTTTCCTTAATCTGGTCTATCCACCTTCAAAATGGACCTCCTCTTCGCACCAGTTTAATACTTAGTTGCTTCACTTTTCCACTTAAGTTTATTTATTTTTATCTGCTACGTTAGTTATTTATCTTAATGATGTAATGTCATAAGTTCTGCATTTTTTATAATCAATAAACACATTTTTATTTATTGATTATTTTATCTATTCTTCTCTTCAGACCGTGTCTCCATAATATTGTATAAATATGTAGTTTCTATATTACATTTAAATTATTTGATTTAATAATAGCAACCCAATCAGTGTGTCCCAACCCAATCTCGGAGAAAGGTGTCCTATTCTCTTCATTCTGTTATATTATAGCTACACGACGATTATTAAAGTAAATCTTTTTATATGTGGTGGTGTAATAGTTATATATTTACGTGAATTTTTAGTAATTACCGTAATGTACTAGAATTTTATTATTTTCATTTGCTATTTGCCTAAAAAGCAAGCCCTCAGTTAAATGTAAAGGAAAAGGATCTTCTGCCCGATTTTTTCCTTTTGATTGTATTGTATGTCGAAGAGACAATCTTTTAAATCACAAGTACCAACTTACTTATAGCTTTTGGCAGATACACAGTTATAAAAGTAATTTAGTTCCTAAAACGTCTCTTTCGGTGAAACGTGAGGAAAACCGTCACACAGTCTCGGTTTAAGTTTAAAAAACAACACAGACACAACCCATTATCCTGAATTCACCCTTCCAAAGTTTCTGAAACGGACATACAGGGAAAAGCTTTTTTGTCGCTCACCTTTTAGAATCGCTAAGCACCCGTGTTTTTGAATACGAAAATGTTTCGTATGCCCTTAGCGTTTGAAATATTTAAATATCGCTTACAGAAGAACTGTTACTCAGTTATACACGTTATAGCATATTGAAGCTTCTTTGAGACAACATCACATACAGAGAAAAGTATACTATAGTATTTTTGTGGTACAAAAAACTTAGTTTTGTATCGCACAGCTTGAACATACAACGACCACTATTTAAGACTTGACTTGTTTAAGCTATCGCGGAATATGCTAAGAGTATTAAGAACATCCATAGCGCTAAATCACCTGCGTCATAAGCACACCCCACATATACACCTTCACGTACAATCCCTCATTTTCACACTATCACACAACGCAGCCCAATTAGGTATTACTGAGTTAAATGTATTTAATATTTTTTATTAATTTTTTCCTTTCGTAAACCTTTTTGTAAATATTATGTATTCCATCTTTGGCTATATGGTTATTATAATTGTTTTTTGTTGTATATAATTTTTGTTAGCTGTAGGATTACGGAAATAAAGGCTTTTAAAACTATTTTACATAGTATGCTATATTGTGGCATATGAGTATTTTCATAGCTACGTTGATCCAAGCAATGTTAGTGCCGCCGCTATGTGGTTGCCAAACTCGTGCTAGCCACAAACGCTCCGTTGTGGTGATTCGACGCTTTGCTATATCCGATGTACAACACAAACAAAATCCATATAACCATTATTGTGTATATATTGTATCATACAAAAATAGTCGAATTATTTTAGTATATGAAGATATGGGCCATTAAAAAATTGCTGTACAATCAATGTCTTAACGAAATCATTTACATTATTAAGAAAGTTGAAAATTTTATAGATTCAAAGCCCGGCAACGCACTTGCAAGGCCTCTGGCAATGTATATGGGTGTATATCACATAACATCAGATGGGCTCTTGCCCGTTTGCCCCGTGACTTAAAAAAAAAATAAAGGAACGTGTTGTTTCTACGTACGAGTTACGATTTTTTGTGACACGTATGATACGTAGGTACTTGTGATAAGATTAGTGACAAAGCGTGCAACTATCAAAGTCGCGCGTTTTAACCCTGATTCCTTTTTATATAAGTTATTCAGAGTCGAGCGTCACCTAGTATGTCTAAAATAAATACGTATTAGACATATATTATTATTTTCTTTTTCCTTGTTATATTCCTATCTAATTGCTATTCATGTATTTATATTGTATATTAGCGGATGCTTAGCGTACCTATGCGACTTCTTCGATAGAAAGAGTCCACTCGTGAGTTAAGATAAGTGTTGGCCTAGTGGCTTCATCGTGTGACCCTCATCCCTGACGTCGTAGGTTCGATCCCCAGCTGTGCACCACTGGACTTTCTGTCTATGTGCGCATTTAACATTCGCTTGAACGGTGAAAGAAAACATCGTGAGGAAACCGGCCTTTCTGAGACCAAAGAGTCGACGGCGTGTATCAAGCACAGGAGGCAGTTCACCTACTTGCCTATTACATGCCTGAGGCCCACATCTAGAAAGGTAGTAGCGCCACTGATTTATATCAAACATATTTTCAAAGTCCTCATAAGAGAGTATAAATGAAATATGAATGTCCACCAGAACCAAGACCCAATGATTGAATACTCTTAAAGATTTGACAATTAAGCATCACCCTTCTAAATACACTCACTCGAATTGAAATCCACAACATTTTATCAAATTAATACGAAGGTTCACTTTGTATGGTTTTAAATTAAACTAAAAGCTTTTGCATTTATTTCGTTGCACATGTGGATTAAAGAATCATTCATTTGTAAAGATAAAAATAGAATATATCTCGTATTGTTTTGAAAACTGGAATTTACCCTATATCCTGTGGTTTGAATTTGGTCCAAAGCAAAAATTGTTGTGCAGTATATTGAATGTGGCTCGGAAATGTTCACGGTTCTCGATGGCCTAATTGCGGTTATCTATAACTTTTTTTAATAACTTTAATATTGAACTTGTACATTTGTGTCGATGAAAATGCTTACGTGTTTGCTTACGTAAGTTTACTTTCAGTTTGCCTTCTAAATTAGACCTTAAAGATAAACCTCGAATTCAATGTAAAGTAATAATAAAGCTCGTTTATTTCCAATCTTTACGAATGTTAATAATATATATTAAATTTGTTTATAATTTTCTTTTGTTACTCGAAAATCGATATCCAAACTTCCTTCAGTACCATTGATCGGAACGTCTCCCCAAGCTTTTTCCAATTTTTTCTATCCATAACTTTCTTTCTTCATTAGCTTTCTGCTAACGCTTCTATGTCTTCTATCCACCTTTTTCTAGGGCTCTCTTCTGCTTCTTCCTCTCGGTTCTTTACATATAGATGTCATTAAATCAACCTTTCTTATGCACAGACTTGCGTTTTAATCGTTATTACAAAGTTCATTGTATATTTAATATGTCTTTTATTGAAGTAAGAAAAAGCTTTATTAACATTTTTGTTCGTTCAGAATTCAGTTTTTGTATTGTCGATAAATATAAAAAATATTATCGTTTAACTTTTTTAACATTGAAACATGTCTTCGCAATATTTATTTTCTTTTTGCCTCACCTACATCATTATGTCTCTATTAATTTCATGTATAATCAGTACTATTAGCTATCTCTGAGAGGTAAATAAAACAACGGAATTGAATAATAATAATGTATTTATTTAAGCAGACAATCATAAGTCCATATGGTTATTATTGTGTTTGTTACAATTGTCCTAAATATTATATTAGTAGGTTAGCTTTAAAGTAAATTAAATCATATAATTAAAAAGGGTACGTGCAGTCCATTGCAATGATACCCTGGTAAGGGCCATCCAGCCTTTCCGCTAGTACAGAGATACAGCTCTCTTGCGCAACTGATTAGCTAACGATTGGCTTTAGGGCATCGGACAGTTAATGCCTTTTTTTGTTGTGTCCAAATTTATTGTTTACTAAAATGCTTAGGTTTACTCTGAGTATCGCTGTAAGACTTTTACAGCCTTTTTAAAACGTGTACTAAATTATTTCGCCGTGCTTGTTACCATGGTAATGGACCATTTAGTCCCCGTTTTTAAATTAGTCTTATAATTCCTTATACAGGTTGCGTCGTGGCTTCAAGCATAGAGGCGTCATGGTGCTACCTCGGCAGACCTGTGGGCTTTTCACGCACACGCTATTGCTGGAGAGATACCCGGGCGGGCGGGAACGACTCGACAAGTCGATCCAGGGCGGCGAGCTTTTCCAGACTGTCATCAATAATCCTGTAAGTTTAAAATTTCAACTGTTATTGACAAATCCGTTTCTAACCGACAATCAAAATATAATGTTATCGTTTTGATCGGTATGTTTGTGATACTGTTGGAATTGGATAATATTGGAGTATTGCTATTTGGGCTTCAGCATGCGACTCTCATATCTGACGTCCATACTTTCCGTCTATCTGCGCAATTAGTCTCGCTCGCACGCTGAAGGAAAATATCTTAAGAACACTAGCATTCCCAAAAGGTAGGCGTGTGATAGGCACAGGCGGTTGATCACCTGATCACGAAACAGATACAGAAAAGGAAGGTTGTCTCCCAGTGGATACAGAAGGGCCAGTGCAGGGCGCACTGAAAAAATAGAGGAGGCTGACGTCCAGAAATGGACCAAATAATGGCTAATGATGATGTTTGTTGACAAATTTCTTGACAACTAAAGATCATATTCGGATAATTGTAAACTAGTATCTTTTGTTAGCAATGGGTTAAGTTAGGTTTAATTAGATGCATAAAGTTAATCGCTGATCCACAACTGTAATAATAAAAAAAACAACTGTTTTATTCCTTGAGTTCACCTTAGGCAAAATCCTTGAAAACAGATACAAAATATATATTGGTGGTATTTTTAGTAAGTTTGGAGGTTGTTTCTTAATTGAAATGTAATTAGTGGCTAATTTGTTCGTAGTTTACCTCCTATTTCCCCAAAGAACCATACCTGGCTGGATTAAATTCTCTTGAACTGAACATTGTTGAATTTAAATTACTAAAGTTTTCACTTCGTTCATTGTGTTTGTTGAAGTCAGCTATAATTGGGTATGGAGTAGATACAATTATGCATCTGTTTATAGCTTATCATGTAAAAAGTGTGTTAGTATGCTTCCTTACTAGGCGGTAGTCGTTTAAATATATGTTCTCATTGTATTTACGAAGATTCTTCAATATTTGCTTAAGTTTTGAAGTGAAAATTATTCCTTACGCGAATTATCCAAGACCTCTATTTTGTTTCAATTTCAACATCCTTGAAGAAAAGAGTTTACCAAATTTGTAAAGGTCGACAACGCACTCCCCAGCCTCCTTATCTGTCTACGGTATCACTTAACGTCACACGCCTAGTTTCCGTTTGTCCCTGTACTATAATAAGTAAATTTAGTTTAGTTATGCAACCCGAAAAAGTAAAGTTTACTACACGATCCGTAACGTATCCATTACATACAACCGTAGGTTCGTTTGCCCCCACATCATATATACAAACAAATTATCTATTCGATAAAAACAGTGTATACTATAGTAACAAAAGTAGATCTTTACTTCACGTTATATAGTTAGTATATTGGTTTGCATTTATTTTTAAAAACAGTGCTTTACAAACAAATTATCTCTGAGACAAATAAGATATGCGTTTTTGATTGCTGGCTTATCCATTGCATGTATGTAACGAAGTTTATCAATGCATAATAAAGTCGTGCGAACATTCGCATTGCAATATGTTTGCTGGTTTAAGCTCTGACGTAACTGAGCAACGTTTTAAATAGACTAGTTAATTTGTAGTAAACGCTGGTGATAAACGTGTGGTTTGCACTTAAGCCGAGCATTTGTGTGCTTACGTCCAGAACATATAAAATTTCCTGAAAGGTATACAGTACACCAAATGCCTCGTGTACACTTTAATTGTTATTTGTCACATCAATTTCACCTTACCTACAATATATTATTTAATTAATTAAGACTGGTACTATCTCGCTCACTAAAATAACATAAAATATGTTTATTATGGAACATAAGATACATGTATCACTTATTCCACGTCATTAAATTTGAAGGCATCCCTACTCATCGGCAAAGAAGACAGAGGGTGTAGGCCGAGAGAAAAAGCCGGCGTAAAAAACTCTCGGTACTCTTTTAAAACAGCAAATCATCAAACGACACTTATTTAAAACAAATATCGCAAATTAATTAGAAGTAGCCTGTCTAGCACTAATCCCAGGCCCTTTTATCAACTAGATAATCGTTGACTTTATAGTAAGCCTTTTTACACAGCTTTTCTTTAATACATTTCTTAAATTTATTGAAAGGCAGTGAGTGACAAAAGAGCCTCTGGGATTTTATTAAAGAAGAGTATCCCTTTCCCCAAAAAAGAATTACTAACTTTAGATAGTCTAGTACGGGGAAATTGCAGCCTGTGTTTGTTCCGTGTATTAACATTGTGCGTATGTTCTATTCTAGTAAACTTATCACTATTTTTGTATACATACATAATATTTTCATAAATATATTGCGAGGGAAAGGTAAGTATATTAATTTCCTTGAATTTATCTCTAAGAGATTTCCTACATTTTAAATTATAGATTGCACGAATAGCCCTCTTCTGCAGGATGAAAATAGTTTCGACATCAGCAGCATGACCCCATAATAATAAGCCATAAGTCATTAAGCTATTAAAGTAACTAAAATAAACAAGTCTAGCTGTATCGACATCAGTTAGTGAGCGAATTTTTTTAACCGCGTAGGCTGCAGAACTAAGTCTCTTCGCCAATCCGTTAATATGAGGGGACCACTGAAGTTTTGAATCCATGGTGATTCCGAGAAATACAGTTGTATCATCCAGATTCAATTCCTCACCGTTTATAATTGGTCTAGTATCCATAGCCCTTGCATTTTTTGCACAAAATTTAATGCATTTTGTCTTTTTTGCATTAAGTAGAAGGTTATTCATACTAAACCAATGGACAATCGAAGACAGAGCATTGTTCACATCGTCAAAATTTGTTATTTGTCGTTTGATTTTTAAAATCAAGGACGTGTCATCAACAAATAAAACTATCTGATGTTTTCTCTCTACCATGAAAGGTAGATCATTTATATAAACAAGAAAGAGGAAAGGGCCAAGAATTGAGCCCTGTGGTACCCCCATATCTACTGCCGACCCAGAGGACCTCTTACCATTCACTTCAACCTTCTGAGTTCTTCCGTGTAAATAGGAAGTCAGAAGATTCAGTGCGGTATTCTTGATGCCATAGTGGCGGAGTTTCCCGATTAAGGTCTCGTGTTGGACACAATCAAATGCTTTGGATAAGTCGCAGAAAACACCTAAAGCGTCATGCGACTCCTCCCAAGCCTTAACTATATATCTATATAACTCAACACCGGCATCGGCTGTCGAGCGACCCTTGGTAAAACCGAACTGATTATTATGTAATAATTTGTTTACGTTAAAATGACTTACCAGTTGATTTAATATAATTTTTTCAAATATTTTACTACAAGTAGGTAGTACGGAGATTGGTCTAAAGTTACTGGGGTCGGACATACTGCCTGCTTTAAATAATGGAATAACTTTACTATGTTTCATTAGATCGGGAAACTCGCCACTTTTAATACAATTGTTGAAAATTATAGCTAGATGGGGAGCAATTACATCAATTATGCTACTAATTATTTTTACAGAAATACCCCAAAGATCGGTAGTGTTCTTAATATCTATGGTTCTAAATATCCTCACTATATCGTCGGCACCAATGAGTCGGAATGTAAAACTGACCTTGCACTCGTTTACATTATCTTTGAGCAGCGATTCAGCGAGGGCGGGAGATGATTGAAGAGACTTAGTAGTCGAAATTGGAATGTCAGAAAAGTACTTATCAAAAACAATCGCTATCTCTTCGTTAGATTTGATTATAGTGTTATCGACACATAGTTCGATGTCTTGATTGCGATCCCTGACTCTTCCAGTTTCACTATCAATTATCTTCCAAGTCATTTTAGTTTTATTGGTACTATTTTTAATCTTGTTTTTGATATTTAAGGACTTGGCCGCGTAACAAACTTTCTTAAATAATTTCGAATAATTTCGAACATAAAGAATAAATTCATCATTATGATTGTATGACTTTTCAGCGTAAAGGTCATACAACCGTTGTCTACTTTTATAAATTCCCGCTGTCGCCCAATCACTAAACGATTTACACTGCGAATGAGAGACTTTCTTTGGGGTGAAGATGGTGTTGAACTCTTTATTAATACAATCACTTAGATTGTTGTATTGTGTATCAACGGTAGTACCTACCGGTAATAAAGGTAGGTGTTTACCTATATTATGTCTAAATCTCACCATTCGCTTTTTATTTACTGGAACAAACACACTGGTCTTATTTACTTGTTTCACCACTTTACATTTTAGCGCCACTAACTGTCCACAATGATCTGAGCACTCAGTCCAATGATGAAATTTCTTTCTTAAATCTTTATAATATTATGATATTTATAATATAATGGATTATAATATTTTATTTAGACATAGACATAACAATAACAATTACAAACAAAAATACACACACATTAACACACAAAATAACAATAATCAAAGAAAAAAATAAAATGAGAGATATTAAAAACAACAAAAAAATTCTCTTTTCCCATTCGGTTCGTTACATTCGAGTGTGTAATGCGTGTGTGCTGAAGCTGTAATTGGCCCTGGCTCAGCATTATGCTGAGAAGCAGAATGTTCCACAGCGAAGGTTATTCTGCCAGAGACCACAGCAGCTTGTTTGCGCCTCAGTCGCAAACAAGGAAAAGGAATGTAATAAATACTTAGTAGAAAAAAAAAATAATAAAAGTTACCACCACTTAACCACTTGCCCCCAGAGGCTTACATTAGAGTATTACATATTAAATGGACTGGAATATCTGACTTTACATGAGTATTAAAATATTCAACATCATCAGAATATCACTGAATGTTTAACGCAGGCTCGATTGTTTGTAGACTTCGCGTTTGTAGGCCATAGATGACAAATGTGTAATTTTAGCATGGTTTGGTGATTATTTATTAATAATAATATTTATTTGCAATATGGTACAAAAATATGATGGTGGTACAATCTAAACTTTGCATATTCTGCCACACGTAATGGCGTGCAAATTTGTCATAAAAGGTAGAATTTTACATAGAAGTTATGTATTACATTACAATATGTGTCATATAATTTTAGTCAATACAGTCAAAAGA